GATGTTTGGTGCTTAGATATGTGGCTGGAGTGTGGGCTTTTGATTTGTTTCCATTGGTTTGGTTGAAAAGAGATTTGGCTTGTCCAACTGCCAAGTAAGCCGGCCAGTTTTAGATAGATGGCTGTGCCTTTGAGCTAGGTAAATAAGTTTAGTGACTTTCTTATTGGCTGAGTAAACAGAGAGAGAGGTGGCTCAGGATGTTTGGGGGCTTAAGGAGTATTCTTAAGCTCTGAGGTCTTTATTGGAACGGACAGCCTGCAGGTACCATTTTAGGGACAAAAAGCTGAGCTAGAATCACCCACCACCACACTACTTCTGTCCCTCTCGTTTTCTTTTGTTAGATCCCATCTTTCCTCCTTCCCTTCAATGGGCCCACTCACTTGGAATCATAGCGCTGCAGCAGGTCTCGGGGCCGGCAGTAGCGCTGTCTGCAAACCACCACCAAGGCTGCAAACGAAGCCAGAAAGATGGTGGCCAGCACGCCAATGGCAACAATCACCACAGTCTCCATGCTTCCACGTGGCTCCTAACTCAGTCCCGCTCACATCCTCCGCGTGGACTAAAGCTTGAGAGAACACAAGGTCAGAGAAGACCTGGTAAAGAATAAGAACCAGAGAGTGGGGCAGCTGAGTCTTACCTGCCGGAAGTGGCAAATGGGGGGCAGGGCTGCAGGAGCTAGGATCCCAACAGACCCGAGGACCTGAAGAGAGGTCCATTTTATGCCATGCCCCAAATTTGCCTTTTCCTTTATTAAAAGAGTTTGCACACCACTTGGACCAGGATGGCCTTTTAAACCTTGGACAAATGGAAACACTCTAACTAGCATAGTTTCCACATCTACAAAAAATGTGCATGAAAAAATGCCCACTAAAGAAGGGGAAGGGTGGGAGTGTATTTACTGAGGATCTACTCTCTGTACCAGGCACTTGTAATGTGTTATCTCTACCAACAAGCCTAGGAGGTAGGCATTAGTATCCCCATTTTACAGTTGAGAAAACTGAGGTTCAGGGAGGTTAAGGAGTTTTTCTAAGTTTATGTAGTCAGGAAGCGGAAACTGATGTGGCCATTACCCTTCTTTTCCTGAGGAAAGATTGTAAAAACTCTGAAAAGGGTTCCGATTGTAGTTTGTGTTGGAAACTTACAAATGGCCTTAAAGTGTTCACTGCCTACTGCCTGTTTTCACTCAGGAGGCTCTTTCACACCTATCTTAACCGCATCTCAGAGAAAATACCTATTCACAGTGTTATTTCATTGCAGCCTCATATTTCGAGCAAGTCTCCTCCCTTTTTCTGGCCTTTAATTTCTCCATCTGCAAAAAGGGTGCTCTGAGTTAGGAGTCCCTCTGACCCCAAGTGGTGCATCTCCTCTATCTGCACTTAATTCTATGCTCTGTGTCTTAGAAGGGCCAAATGCTCTTGGTCATCATTCAATAAGTGTTTATTGATCATCTACTATGCACTAAACACTGGGATGGATTCTTGAGACTGGAGATAAATAAGACACAGACCCCAATCTTAAGGAGTGGTGGGAGAGGTAGACAGGTACACAAACCATCTCAACGCCATGTGCCTTATGTATGTGTAGAAGTCCATAAAAAAGAGAACAACTGTTTACATGACACTTTCTGAAAAGCCGTCTTCACAAGCCTGGTGATGCTTCAGCTGGGTTTTCAAGGATGAGTAAGAGTCTGCCAGGTAGACAAGGCGAGGACTGGGCTAGCTTAAAGTGCCAAGGAGGCCTTTCTCAGAGGTCTCACAGAACTGCTCTCCCACCTGGAGCTCACTTGGCCACACGGGACAGAAGGCTGGAGTCTGTCTCTTTCATCTCTGTATCTCTGATTGTGTGTGGAGGTTAATTCCGAGTCTGCCTCAGTTTCTCTAGATGTGCGTTTCTCTCTACTATCCCTCCTTTCGCCCCTTTCCTTTCCTCCTCCTCTCATTTCTGTCTTCCTCTTCACACATCCCCTCCTCCCCTGTCTCTCCCGTTCTCAGCGTTTCCCTCCTTCCCCCACCTCCCGCCGCCAGCCTGCAAGGCACCCACTTGGTTTCCTCTCCTGTGCATTCTCCGCGTGTTTCTCTGAGTGCGTGTGGGCTTTCTCCAAGTGTTCGCAGTCTTTCTCTGCGATTCGTCCGTGTGAGTGTTTCTTTGCGTGTTTTTCTCTCTCTCTCTCTGTGTTCTTCTCTGTGCATTTCAGGGGGAGCTTTCCTGTCTCCGCCTAACTCGTGTAGGTCTCTCTCTCCCCCTTACTTTCTCCCTTTCCCTCTATTTGGTTCTAAACCCAATAAGGATAAAACAGACCCAAGACCTACCTGCTTCCCCGTGCCCGACTGTGCAGAGCAGTCCCCAGTCCCCAGCACCCCGGAGGCAGGGACCCCGCCCGGCGGCGCGCGGCGCCAACTTTCCTTCCCACTCGCGGGCGCGCGCCGGGCCCCGCG